CGCTAAGGGCATGTACCTCGGTTGCAGTTTGTCCCCGGCCCTGGTCGGTCTTGCGGGTGGCAGCCACTCGATGTGTTCCTTTCACGTCGATGTTTCTCTCTCTCTCTCTGTTCCTCTCTCTCCCTCCCACTCTACCTGAACAAAAAATGGAAAAATGTCCTCGGGTGAGGATACAAAAAAAAAAAAGTAAACAAGTAAAGACAGTATTTCCACATTACGGTGCGTGCTATGAGAGGGACAATAATAGTGATGGGGCAGGGGTCCTTCATTAAGTAGGCTGGTAAAGGCAGACTTGCCTGAGCAAGAGAAATTTCAAATAGAAACCTGAAGGATGAGACAGGTTCAGTCATTAAAAGAGGGAGGAAGAGAATGTGCAAAGGTCCTGAGGTGGAAAAGAGCTTGTTAAGTTGAAAGTAGCTAAGCATGGCTAGATTTAGCTGGAGGGGAGTGGTCTGAGTGGGGTTGGAAAGGGCAGCAGGCACAGGTAATACAGGATCTTTTCTTACTTTATTGAATGTATTGGGGTGACATTGGGTCACAAAACCATACAGATTTCAAGTGTACAACTCAACAAAACATCATCTGCACACTGCATTGTGTGCCCATCGCCCAAAGCAGAGTCTCTTTCAATTAAACAATACAGGGTGGTGCACACTAAGGATTTTGATTCTGTTCTGAGTCCAGGGAGAACACAAAGAAGGATTCTTTTCTTTCTGTTGAAAATAGTTTTTATTCTACGACTGTAAATAAGGGTAATATTCAAAGGAGATTAGTAAACCCCATTCTGATAAAGCATTTCAAACTCTAGCAAAGAAACTTCCATCTTTTGTACATTTGACTATACTTGGTTAATGTTGCCCTCATTGGGTTTACTCACAAAGTTAGTTCAATGCTGCCCCTTTATTGGCTATTGTGCTTTCTGAAGTTTGTAGTGGTCAATAGAAGTCCAAAAATATTAGATGAAAAATTCCCCAAATAAACATTTCATAATTTTTATTTGACGTTATTATTTTTAAACATGTAAGATTTATTTTTTCTTTCTTTCTTTCTTTCTTTCTTTCTTTCTTTCTTTCTCTCTTTCTTGCTTTCTTTCTCTCTCTTTCTTTCTTTTCTTCCTTCCTTCCTTTTTGTTTTATCCTCACCTGAGGACATTTTTGCATTTAACTTCAGATAGAGTGGGAGTAAGAGAGGGAGGAAGAGAAAGAGAGAAACATCGATGTGAGAGAAACACAGCGACTGGCTGCCACCCACACAACCCCAACCAGGGCCGAGGACAAACTGCAACTGAGGTACGTGCCCTTAGCAGGAACCAAACCCGGGACTCTCTGGTCCACAGGCTGACGCTCTAACCACTGAGCAAAACAGGCCAGGGCTCTCCTTTTCTTTTTTAAAGTTTTATTTTATTTTTAAATTATAATTTGCATTTAACTTCTTTTGTATTCGTTTCAGGTGTACAGCACAGCACCTAGACATTCATAGAGGTTACAAAGTGAAGAGGGATTCTTCAGCAGAGAAGTGATGAGGTCCAATTTATATTTTATATTTTGATTTTTTTTTTCTTTTCTTTTCTTTTTTTTTTAATCCTCACCGGAGGATATTTTTCCATTTTTTGCACAGATAGAGTGGGAGGGAGAGAGAGGAAGAAAGAGAGAGAGAGAGGGAAACATCAATGTGAAAGGGACACATCGAGTGGCTGCCACCCGCATGACCAACCAGGGCCGGGGACAAACCGCAACCGAGGTACATGCCCTTAGCGGGAACTGAACCCGGGTCTCTCCGGACTGCAGGCGGACGCTCTAACCACTGAACCAAACCAGCCAGGGCTATATTTTGATTTTAAGAAGATCTTTACTGCCGTTGCATGGAGAGAGGGGTGGAGTGAACAGAGAGAAGCGGGGAGACCATCTGGGAGCCTGGTGCAGGGAGCTGGGAGAGGCAACGGTAGCTGAGACTTGGTGGTGGCAGTAGAAATGGAAAGGTCTAGACCCACACTGGTCAGTGTGGTATCAGCCAACCACCTGTGGCTACTGAGCACTTGAAGTATATAAGTGTAAAATCCAGATTTTGAAGAAAAAGAATGGTAAGCTATACCATTAATAACGTTTATCTTAATGACATGTTGAAATAATAATATTTTGAATATTTCATGTGAAATAAAATATAATAGGAAAAGTTTCATCTGTTTTTTCACTGTAAATATGTTTTTATTGATTTTTTTAGAGAGAGAGGAAGGGAGACAACAGATAGACACATTTATGTGAAAGAGAAACATCCATCAGCTGCCTCCTGCACGCCCCTTACTGGGGATTGAACCCACAACCCCGGGCACGTGCCCTGAGTAGGAATCGAACTAGGACCTCTCAGTCCATGGGGTGACACTCAATCCACGAAGCCACACTGGTCGGGCTCTATTTTCACTTAAAACATTTTGAAAAATTTTATTTATCAATTTTTAGAGAGAGAGGAAGGGAGAGGGAGAGAGATAGATACATCGACGAGTGAGAATATCAATTGGTCGCCTCCTGCATGCCCCCCACTGGAGATTTGGCTCACAACTTGGGCATATGTCCTGACCGGGAATCGAACTGGCGACCTCTTGGTGCATGGGTCGATGCTCATGCACTGAGCCACACTGGCTGGGCTCATTCACAATTAAAAAAATAAAAATCGATTGTAGAGAGGGAGGAAGGGAGAGTGACACACACACACACACACACACACACACACACACACACACAAATTGGTTGCCTCAGGCACATGCCTGACCTGGGATAAAACCGCAACCTAGGTATGTGCCCTGACCGGGAATCAAACCTGAGATCTTCTGGTGCACAGATGATGGGATGATGTGCCAACCAACTGAACCACACTGACCAGGGCTGTTGTTTTACTTAAAAAAAGAATGTGGCTACTAGAAAAATGTGAACAACACATGTGGCTTGCATCTACGGCTCACATTATGTTTTTATTGGACAGTGTCGATATAGACAAAAGTTACTGAATGAAAAAAATACTTTGTAGTGAAATTACGTTGGACACTAGAAATTTCTAGCTAGGTCTAAGTTGTTTTTTTCTGGTCTACAAAAGATATTTATTTGATTTAACAAAACAATACATTTAGTATTTGATTCAATCACAAAGAACAGAAAAAATAAGTTGACAATGTACATAAAAAAGTCCAAGATGTTTAATGTGACAAATATATGTTTCTAAAATAAATCCCCTAAAATTCCTTAGTTATTGAAAATTGTACAAACACAAAAAAATGTTAATAGCAACCCAATACATAAAACCAAACATCTAATTTTGGGCAAATTAACATAGTAGGCAACTTTGCTAACAATGCATAATTTTTTTCCTGCTTATAAGCTCTTCAGACTATCTTTATACCAACAGACTGGGCAGAACATTCAGGTTTAATATCAGTTACACAGCATTAGCATAAACTCAGACAACTACAGAGAGAGTATTGTGTTCTTTTCTTTTTTGTGTTAATCCTCATCTGAGGGTATTTTTCCATTGATTTTTAGATAGAGTGGAAAGGAAGGAGGGAGAGAGACAGAAATGTTGATGTGAGAGAGACGCATCGATTGATTGCCTCCCACACAACCCCACCCAGGGCTAGGGGTTGAACCTGCAACCCAGGTATGTGCCCTTGATTAGGAATCAAACCCTTGACCCATCGGTCTTCAGGCCAACACTCTAACCATTGGGAAAACCGGCCAGGGAAGTATTGTTTTCTTTTGAGCTGGCAAAGTAACCATGGAAACATCAGATCATTTTTTTTGAATTGAGAATTTCCTCCCAAATAAATGTCACATACCTCCCACGCATAGTTTACTAATACATCTAATAATTTCTTTATGTGATATTGGTAGGTGATTTAAATGTAAAAGGCCTTTAGTTTATGGAGATTTTATTGTCTTTGTAAAATAACCTGTGGGTGAGGCTGCCTACAGTCTCCGGATAGCATACAGCAGGAGGCCCTGTGGGGGCTGACCAGGAGGAGCACCAGGCTTTACAGACAGAGGACGAGGCTGTACTTCTTCTTCTTTTTTTTTTTTTTATCCTCACCCGAGGATATTTTTCCATTTTTTGTACAGATAGAATGTGAGGGAGAGAGAGGAAGAGAGAGAAACATCGACGTGAAGGGACACATTGAGTGGCTGCCACCCACACGACCAACCAGGGCTGGGAACAAACTGCAACCGAAGTACGTGCCCTTAGCGGAAACTGAACCCGGGTCTCTCAGGACCGCAGGCCAACGCTCTAACCGCTGAGCCAAACTGGCTAGGGCACCCGAGGATATTTTTCCATTTTTTGTACAGATAGAGTGGGAGGGAGAGAGAGGAAGGGAGAGAGAGTGAGAAACATCGACGTGAAAGGGACACATCGAGTGGCTGCCACCCGCACGACCAACCAGGGCCGGGGACAAACTGCAACCGAAGTACGTGCCCTTAGCGGGAACCAAACCCGGGTCTCTTCGGACCGCAGGCCGACACTCTAACTGCTGAGCCAAACTGGCCAGGGCGGGGCTGTACTTCTGCATCCATAATGTGTGAACTTGGACGTGACTTCACCTGTCTGGACCCACCCATCTGTGAGATGGAGATGGAGAAGGGGCTTCGGAAAAGCGTCATGAAGTACGCCAGTGCCAGAGCGCGTTCATCCTCCGAGACAGCGGCGCGTGCTGGCCCGGCAGGTGACCCCTCAGCGCCGCTGGACGACATCTGTGCACATCTGTTCAAGGGGCAGGGCTCTCACTCGTTGCTCCCTCAGATTCAAGGTTCTCAGTAGGACGGGATAACTTCCTGCCGCAGGACGAACGTTTGCAGGAATTCAGAGGAAAATATTTTCAAGGTCATATTAAGAACTCGGGGTCAGATGCACTTAGCATCACCCCGGGAGTGCTTTAGTCCAAGCATAAACAAGCCGAGGGCCGGGCGGCTTCCTTCAAATAGGCTGGCTCACCGGGCGCGCGTCATTCTGCACCGGCGGCGGGGATCCGGGCGGGAGAGGACCCGAGGAGGCGGGATGAAGAAGTTCCTTGTGCTCGTGCTGTCTCTCTCCTTGCTGACTTTCTTCGCAGGTGAGCATTCGCTCCCCAAACAGCCTGTTCCTACCCTGATAAACTGAAACAAGCCTGTTATAAGATGTGTATGGTTTGTATAAGTACATATACGCGTCTAATAACTCAGTGCTTTGTTTTTCCAAGAACAGGCTCCTGGAACTGCTAGCATTAGGGATAACTTCTTTAAAAAATGTTGGCATGCATTGGAACACTGATTCTCAAAAATGCTGACATATGTTCAGCCGTGCCTTCTTTCGGAGTTCCTATGAGATCACTCAATCTGGGAGACTTTTATTTGCTGCTATCCTTTAGAGTTTGTGTGTGAGTATCAAAACAATAGGGTTTTATAATCATAGTATCTTCTTGGATAAGTTCAAGAGTAAGTGTAACATTCTCTTGTCCTGGGGTAGCTTCCAATAACAGTTTTAACTCGATTTAGTGTCTCGAGGATTTAAACAAATCCCTCAGAGCAAACCTAAGGGATGAGAAACACACTGACCAGAGACCTGGAGAGAATGTGTTTTAAAAGCCCCGAATCAGCCCTGGCCGGTTTGGTTCAGCGGTTAGAGCGTCGGCCTGCGGTCCTGAGAGACCCGGGTTCGGTTCCCGCTAAGGGCACGTACTTCGGTTGCGGTTTGTCCCCGGCCCTGGTCGGTTGTGCGGGTGGCAGCCGCTCGATGTGTTCCTATCATGTCGATGTTTCTCTCTCTCTCTCTGTTCCTCTCTCTCCCTCCCACTCTACCTGAACAAAAAATGGAAAAATGTCCTCGGGCGAGGATAAAAAAAAAAATAATAAAAAAAATAAATAAATAAAAGCCCCGAATCAGCACCCACGCGGAAGGGACAGCCACTGCAGGCGGGGAGGGTGTTTGGCTGTGCCAGGCCGGCTCGGAGGTAAGCTGTCGGGAACAAGCTGGGATTCCTCCGCGAGCCGCCTGCCATGCCATGTCCTTTGGGACAGACCCTGTGAAAGAACTCCTGTGTTTACACTGAAATTGAACTTGCTAATCACTTGCCTTGCGCTGTGACCTCATGTGCCCCGAGAGTCCCTGAGGCCCTGTCCTGACTTTTTCAGGGGCCTCCCCGATCCTGACGGAAAAGCAAGCCAAACAGCTCCTGCGGTCCAGGCGCCAGGACAGGCCAAGCAAACCCGGGTTCCCCGACGAGCCCATGCGGGTGAGTGGGGCTCAGGCTACTTGAAGGGAAAGTGTGATCAGTTCAATGTCCTGTCAGTATGAAACCAAATGGGTGCTGGGCCCAGCCTGGCAGGGGCTGTGGGATGGAGGTTCTGTTAGAGACAGGTGACAGGTGACCTCCATCTTTCACCCCTGCCTCGCCTCCTGGGGTGGGGACAGCAGCAGCCTTCACTTACTGTTAGCACAGCATTTAAAATGCAGACAGTGGGGCCCAGGGTGGAGTGCCAGGGTTCTGAGTTGGCTGCTGGGTGTCACCTCGGAACGGGGTGCTGGGGAACTGTGCCCTGTGGCTGGTGCCAAGCGCACTGTCTACCTCTTCCCTTGGGCTCTGAGTGGACTGGACCAGCGTCCTCGGCCTACGACACCCTTTCGGGGCAGGAAGAATCTCTGCTTCCGCTGCCTGAGGGTTCTGTCCTTACCTTGTGCCTCTGGTTTTGGTCTTTGGTCTCAGCTCTGCCCTGTGGGTTTGTGGTGTCCGTCTGCCTAGTCTTTCTGAACCAGGGCCCCCGCCCTGCCTCCATCCTGTGACTCGTGGTGGGTGTTACTAGAACCTGCCATGCTGGCCCCAGGCCAGTTTGGGTCTGGCTTGCCCTCCGCACTCGTGGTGGAAATAATGACATTCCTGTTATTTGTGTCTCATCCAGGGGAGAGTAAGTCGCAGCGACCCAGGCAAAGTTATTATGTCTGGGAAGCCATGCCTGTGTCCAGGCTATCTTATCCCTCTGTGCCCACTTCAGCTGGGCTCCAGGTTCGTCCCCTTTGCATGTGTCTCCATGTCAAGGTCTAAGGGATCTGCAGCAGCATTTACGTTCACTCCCTGCAGAATCATGTGAATAATTTGGTTAGTTCATTTAAAAGGCTCTTATTGCCCTGGCCAGTTTGGCTCAGCGGTTAGAGCGTCGGCCTATGGACCAAAGAGTCCCGGGTTCGGTTCCTGCTAAGGGCACATACCTCGGTCGTGCGGGTGGCAACCAGTTGATGTGTCTCTCTCACATTGATGCTTCTCTCTCTCTCTCTCTCTCTCTCTCTCTCTCTCTCCCACTCTGTCTGAAGATAAATGTAAAAAAAATATATATATCCTCGGGTGAGGATAAAAAAAAAGAAGCTGTATTGCACAGTGATGAAGACTGCTGACTGTCTGGGTTCGAATCTTCCAAACTGTGTAACCTTGGGGATATTTCCTCTCATTTCTGCACCTCACGATCCTCATCTATGAAATGGGGGCAACAATAAATGTTATTGTACACATTATTATAATAATACATAGCAATGTAAAACACTGCTTTAGGAGCGAAATATAAAGTAAGTCATAGGAAGGCACTTAAACCAGTGCTCCGCAAACAGGAGCTACTCTGCTGAGCACTGAGCACCAGGGACCGGGCGAGGGGCAGAGGCTGCGGACGGTCGCCTGGGTTTCTGCTCAGACTTTGGTGGACACGGAGAGCGCAGCCAGAGGCTATCGTACAACGTGGCTTAGGAAGGAATCGAGGGCGCTAGGCTGTTGGGGGGTACGTGGCTGTTCCCTTTGGTAGGAGAAATCAGAGGAGGCTGGGATACTGAGCGCAGGGGGAAGGGCACCGGGAGGTGGGCCGGGGCGAGGTCAGCAAGGATTGCAGGACGCGGAAGGGTTTTCAAGTCCGGCAGTGCAGCGGGGGCTAGACAGATGGTTTGAGGAGCACAGAGACGAGAAGAGACCCCGGACTGAAGTCTGAGGACACCAGTGCTCAGAGGCGGCAGAGGACGAGGAACCTGAAGGGGCTGAGAAGGCTTTGGGGAGATTTAGGGGGATCCCAGGGAGTGTGGGATCGAGCATGAGAGAAGAGGGTTAGGAGGGGTGGGCGTGGGTGTGGGCAGGATGCCTGGCTCAAGGGTCTCTGGGGCTCTAACTGGCCAAGGCAGGAAGGTGTGGTTGCCCATGAACCAAGGGGCTTAGACTCCTAACGCCTTGGTCCCTGTGCTGTAGGATGTGAACAGCCCCTGACCTCCCCCGTCTCCACTTTTGACCTTGACTTAAGTGTCCTGGGCTACGTGAGACGGTGATGGCCACCGAAGGTCCTCTCAGAGCCTGGTGGGCAGGCCTGCTGTCACAGTGGCGCTGGCTTTCAGTCTGCGCTCCGTGGGAGCTGTTAAAGGACTCTGCACAGGGAACCATGTGATCAGAGCTGGTGTCCAGGAGCCATTCAGAGGCTCAGGACACAGCCTCTGAAACGCTGGCCTTCAGACAGCCGTACACGGGAAATGGGCAATGACAGCTTTGGACATGCTGTTGCACCTCCTTGCCATGGTGCCCAGGAGACAGACAGGTGGGCTGGGACGAATCAGCAGAGGCAGCGATCTCTGGGGACGGAGTGTGCCCTTGGGAGCTGAGCCTAGAGCCTTGTGTGCTCACCACTAACTTGAAATTACAGGGAGATGACTAGTTGGGTTATTTCATTTTGCTTCTCCCCTCTGAGGGACTGTAAAAAATAAAACCCTTTTTGAGAGGAAGAGGCCACTGATGAGGGTGAATGAATGGTGCCTTGGGGAAGTGTTAAGAATTCAAAAGGAGTCCGGCTGGTGTGGCTCAGTGGATTGAGCAACGTACTAGGGACTGAGAGGTCCTGGTTCGATTCTCCGTCAGGGCACATACCCAGTGGGGGGGCATGCAGGAGGCGGCCAGTCGATGTTCTCTCTCATTGATGTTTCTATTTCTCCCTCTAAAATCAATAAAGAAAAACAAAAGTAAAAGAATTCAAAAGGAGCCTGGCCAGTGTGGCTCAGAGGATTGAACAACATCCCAGGGACTGAGAGGTCCCGGTTCAATTCCCAGTCAGGGCACATGCCGGGGTTGTGGGCTCCATCCCCAGTAGGAGGTGTGCAGGAGGCAGCCAATAGATGTTTCTCTCTCACATCAATGTTTCTATCTCTCTTTCCCTTCCTCTTTCTCTAAAAAAGCAATAAAAACATATATAAAAAAAAGAATTCAAAAGGAGAACATATGTGAAGATACGCAGTAGCCTGTCTCCAAGAGTATCTGTTAAGCAATGTTTATCATTTTGACCTTGGCTTAAATACTGGCCAGCATTGGCTTCCGTGGCTTTATAGGCTTTTTGGAAGCAGGTTCAGGGATAGGGCTATTTTGACCTGATGTATTTCATCAATTCACTGCAACAAGTATTCTTTTCTTTTTTTTCTTTTTTTTTAATCCTCACCCGAGGATATTTTTTCCATTTTTTTGTACAGATAGAGTGGGAGGGAGGGAGAGGAAGGGAGAGAGAGAGAGAAACATCGACATGAAGGGACACCTCGAGTGGCTGCCACCCGCATGACCAACCAAGGCCGGGGACAAACTGCAACCAAAGTACGTGCCCTTAGCGGGAACCGAACCCGGGTCTCTCTGGACCGCAGGCTGACGCTCTAACCGCTGAGCCAAACTGGCCAGGGCAAGTATTCTTTTCTGACTGTGTGGTGGGAAGGACAGCATGCTGTTGGAGAGATCACTGGTGTGCCCTGCATTTGGGAAGGGCTGGCTTGCACCCAGAGGAGTGTGGGCACCGTGTTGGCACCCTTGATGGGGGAAGGTAATGGGATGGGGAGAGAGACCCGCAGGGAGAGTGCTCTGGGGAAGAAAGCAGGAGGGGTTCAGAAGGCATGGATGCAGCTGGGAGGAAGAGGATGAATGGTCCAGTGGCGGGGAGGAGGAGAGGGGTCAGAGAGAGGCGGATGGGAGGCCAGGGGCCCAGAGCACACACCGCTGAGACATTCCCGGTGGCAGGAAGTAGCGGATACATTGATTTCAGCCTCGTGTTGCGTGTGAAGTTGTTTTCTGCTTTGTGCCATTATCATCCTCTGCAACCCCAAGCCTGAGGAAGAGCCAGCTGGACACAGTGGCCTTGTGTGAGTGGTCCTTCGTGGAGATGCGGGCTGGCGGGCGTGTGTGGGTGAAGGAGGCTGGTAAAGACGGGGGAAATCACCCCCATCTGGACGCTGTGGTGGTGGAGACGCGGGCTAGGAGGTGAATTTAGGAGAAACGTGGCCCCCGACTCTTCAGAGATTTTGGGGAGCAGGGATCTGGATGGCACAGGAATGGGATGGGCACTCCCGGAAGAGTGGGGTTCCACTGGGCCTCTCATCGGGGACATCGAGGTCTCAGCTTGGTGGACTTCAGGCCCAGCTTGGGCCCTCTGGGTCCGCGAGGACGTGGTGGAGAGCTCCTGGGTACGATGAAGCCTCTGCCCGGGGCAAACTGATGGAGACGGGGCCGTGTGGAATGAAGGGCTGCGTGTGTGTTTAGAGGGAGGAAGGTGGACAAAGTATTCTGAACTTACCCTGAATATTTCCTCCATCGTGACTGTGCTTATGTTGATTTTCAGAGTGTGGGTCCAAACTTCTGCTGCTTCAGACGTGGTCCCAGCCCGGCCTCCAGGCTTGGCAGAACCGCAGGCTCCTCGCCGCAGCCTGCAGGCGATGCTGCCCAGCCCTCCCGCCTGCCAGGGCCCGTGATGGGGCACAGACTATGTTTCAGAAGGGCCGTCCTAGCCCAACCTGACCAGTGTGGCTCAGTAGATTGAGTGTCGTCCCATGGACTGAGAGGTCTTGGTTTGATTCCCCGTCAGGGCACATGCCTGGGTTTCAGGTCCCTTTCTCTCTCTCTAAAAAATCAATAAAAACACATTAAAAAAAAAAAAAAAGTGCCATCCTAGACAACTACAGAGGTGCTTCTTAGCCTGTGTTGCTGGCATCCCGGGGACAAGGAGCCGGCCCAGGTTGCTCTGTTTTGACACAGTTGATCTCTCTTCCTCCCTGTGGACACTCTCCCGGGACACCTGGCCCCCCACTTCTCCTCCGGCTTCGTGGTTTCTGCTGCCCTGTCTCTTTTGCTAGAATCCTAGCCCCTGCCAGTCCTTTAAATGTCGAGGGCCCCAGAGCTCTGTCCTCCAGCTTGTCTAGTCCCGGGAGTTTATGCATTGCCTCTACGCTGATGGCTGCACACTGCTGTCCCCACCCCGACCTCTCCCGTGAGCTCCAGACGCCTGCAGCCGTCCCCTGACAGTTTGCTTGGGGCCATTTCATAGGAAGGTCAGCCCCAACTGCCCCTAGTGCAATTCCTGGTCACCTCACAACAGCTTCTGCCCTTGCCTTCCACATGGTGGTAAGAGGTGCCGCCTCATTGCATGGACCCCAAATCCAGGATCTGCCCACCTCTTGCCCTTCACTGCCACCACCAGAGTTCCTAGAGTGGGCTGAGCAGAACTGTCGGACCCTGTCTCCCGCTTCCTCCCTGGACCCTCAGCATCTATCCTCAACGGAGCAGCGGGAGTCAGTTCCCAAAGACATACACCGGATGCCTCCTCCCCTTGCAAACCTTCCTAGGACTTCCTGTCTCACTCAGCATGAAAGCCCTGGTCCTGCAGTGGCCTGCAAGGCCCTGGAAGTCTGTCTGCTCCCTCTGTCCCACCTTGGTCTCCACACGCATCTCGCCACCCCCACTCTGCCCTTGGCAGGCTCACCTGCTCCTTCATGGGGGAAGCTCCCGGAGTCTTTGTATCACCTCTGTGTGGAAATTGTGTCACAAATAACACCCTGAACCTTTTTGTTCTAAAGTGCTTTTGATGTTTTTAATCATTTCTTAAGGATATAGCCCCAGAAAACAAGTGACTGCTCCAAGGATATGAATAGTTTCAAAGCTTGTAGTATACATCATCCGGTTGCTTTTCAAAAGGTTAAAAACAAAACAAAACAACAACAAATCAATTTACTCTCTTGTCCTCCATGAGAGTGTTCCGTGGTGGTTTTAAGGTAAAACCTTATGATGGGAGCGAGATTATAGTGCCTTAAGTTGCAGACCCGTTGGCCATTTCTGGGGCAGGATGAGTGGGCTCAGCGGGGGAGGAATAGGGATCAAGAAGGACCTGTAGGTGTCTGTCTGAAGGGACACCTTGGGGCTACTCACTGGCACTGGAAACCTATGGGAAGAAGCCGGTCGTCTGGAATGATGGTGTGTTTGGAGTTCCTCTACAGCATGGAGATTCCTTGTGCTTGTTTCTCTTGTTCCTGTTTGCCTGGTTCACTTATTCATTTGAAGAACTCACCCTCAATAATGCCTTTTTGAGAAGCCTTCCGGATGCCCCTGCCCTCCCACCATGAATCAGAGCATCACTGTCTTTGTTGCTATTTTTGACTTAAAAAAAATCTGTCCTGTTAGATTGCTCTAAACTACTTGAGCAGATGGGCTGTTTCTTTCACTCTGGGTCCCCAGCACCAAGCACAATATTTGACATTTCCTAAATGCTCATTATACTTATTTCCATTGCTTTCTTTGCTTCTGTCCTGGGGAGACATTTTACAGGACAAGCCTCTACTGCAGAACCTAGAGATTGTTTCCTAGAAATCTTTTCTATTGCCTCTCTTAAATTCATTAAATTTCTCTTAATCATCTCAAATTTTAGGGAAGAAATTATTTGCCAACTGCTGGGGTGAAGCATGGAAATTCTTCAAAAAGATGACATCTCTGCTAAAATTATGTTTTTCGTAAGCATTTGTGTGTCCTGGGAATGTACTTTCCATTTTGGCCTGTCTTCCTTTAAGGAATGTTCTTGTTGGGCAAGTATAAATCACATTAGCTTTATTGTATGTCATCTTTGTAAAATACGCTTTCATGTGTAGCTCTCGACAAACGTATGCAGTAATTCCATTACCTGTTTGTTCCCCATGATCTCCGAGACCAGGTTGGAGTGGCTGAGATGTAAATTGTAGGCATCACTGATCCGCCTTCTTTTAGGGCTAAGGCGGCAGGTGTCCCAGCGTGGTTAACGTCAGAGCCACCTTTCTGTCTAGGTGATTACCTGGCTTTCACTAATGAGCAAATTAATTCCTCCAATTGTTGATGGACCTTTAATTCCATGCAAATGTCTCAGGAAGGGCTTTGCCTCCTCGGGAACAGTTTGCTTTGATAGATTAACTGTCCAGTTTATGATTCTCACCTTAGATTAGGTTCTGGTGGGTATTTAACTTCATTATCACACCACTCCAGAGCCATAGGCAGGGCCACTTCTACTTCCTGCTCTAATTACTGAGAAATCAGTTTCTTCTATGATTACATTGAACATGGAGCATAGATACTGGGTTTTGTTTTGTTTTCTTTCTTTTTTTTCCCCCACGAAGAAGGAAATCTAAAAATATTAAACATTTATTTTCCATCTTGCTCTTCTGTCTTGATCCAGGAACATTTGAGATGATCATTAATGCCGGGTCATTTCTAACTCAGCCAACACAATTGTTGAATTTGTGGTTTTCAGCAGATTTGCAGTTTGGCTTTTCATCTTTGACTAATGATTGCTTGTCGGCCTTTGTGGCATATTTATTTTCCTAACATTTCAAATAAATAGTGAAATGTCATGGAAACCAGCACTCGTTTCTTTCTCTCTCTGTGTGTGTTTTGGTTGTTTTTCTGCAACCATGATTTTAGCGGCTGTTCAGGAGAGTGAAATACGTGTGTGCGTTTGGACAGGGCCGTTAGAATGAGCAGACTGGCACAGATGCTGGGAAGCCTTCCAAGGAGGATTTGGTAAGACGGTGGAGAAAGAACAGTCAACTCATTTATTCATTCACTCATCTATGTATTTCTCCAGTGAGTTCTCTCGAGGTCCCATTATGTGCCATGCACTAGGTACACCTTGGTCACTACCATCAAAAAGGAAGTTGGGTGCTGGTCGGGGGGGACAGGGATTAAATGTGTAAGAATGCACACGAGCACGTGATAATAAAAGGTGTACAGAGGCTGTGTATCAGTGGTGACATTTGTTAAGATTGCCACCGACCTCGTCAGAAAAGTCCGTAAGTAATGGGAAAGCTGCCAGGCTCATGGGAGTAAATGCAACTTGGCTAAAATTTGAACTTCCCCTCAGAAGCTCAAATTTTATCATTTTGTGACAAGTCCTGTCAGTTGTTTTCCTCAACAGGCTCACTTAAAAAAAAAATTGTTTTTATAGAGCGGGAGGGAGAGAGAGATACACACATCGAGTGGCTGCCACCCACACGACCCCAACTGGGGCCAGGGACAAACTGCAACCGAAGTATGTGCCCGTAGGAACTGAACCTGGGGTTCTCTGGTCCACAGGCCGACGCTCTAACCGCTGAGCCAAACCAACCAGGGCTCACTTTCTTCATTTTTGAGAAGATGTCTGCCAAACACGCACATAAAACACAGCTAGTTCAGTCCTTGACACCAACAATCACCAAGGGCTTTTCCGCAGGAAAACCATGCACTTGGCTGTTCAGCCCACGCGATTCCTGTTGGGTCGTTTGATGGGTTCACTGGGGCGTTCTTCAGTGAAACTGACATTGAAGAACAGGTTACATTTGTTTATCTGTTGTAAACTGTGACTGTGTGATGATGGTGAAGGATACAGTAACTTCTTTATTTTTATTGATTTTTTTTTAAGAGAGCGAGACAGAGACGTGTGATAATGAAATTAAATACCCATCAATAAGTGGAACACCATCACTGTGTTGTTCCAGTTATTTATGCATTCACTGGTTGATTCTTGTATGTGTCCTGACGGGAAATTGAACCCACAACCTTGGCTTACGAGGATGTCACTCTAACCTACTGAGCCGCCCGCAGCGTATGCGAGTTCCCATGGATATGCCTCCTCCTGGCACTTAGGGTTGTCAGATTTCCTTGTTCTGCCCATTGAGTGGGTCCGTCTGACTGGTCTCTCCAGAGGCATGGGGCCTGAAGGGTTCTCCTCCCTCAGTGGGCGGCACCCTGTCTCAGAACCACAACCACACCGCGCATCAGCAGCTGGGCCGGCACCGTGGGTAAAAGCCCCTCTTCTGGGTGGGTTTGTTTTGACAGGAGTACATGCACCACCTGCTCCGCCTGGAGCACCGGGCCGAGGAGCAGTTCCTGGAGCACTGGCTGAACCCTCACTGCAAGCCCCACTGTGACAGGAATGTGGTCCACCCCGTGTAAGGGGCTCGGACCAGCCTCCGGTACGTTCCTTCTCCCAGGCCTTCTGTTTTGGGGAGACGGCGGTGGACAGCACCTGCGGGGGCTTTGAGGCCTTCCAGAGCACGGCTTCGGGGAAACAGCTGCTTAGCTGGCTAGGGGTTGGGAGGTTGAAAGAGCGAGGCAGGAGAGACAGGTGGCAGCCAGGTGGAGAGGGGTCCTGGGGGACACACAAGAGATCCCAAACAGGGGAGGGAAGTGACCCTCTTTGCTGCCCAGAAAAGGTCATTCTGGAATACAAACTGGAGACATGTGGCTTACTGGGGTGTGAGTCTGTCCAGGGGGGGTCACCATCCATGGGCTCAGCCAGTGGCATCCATCACCATCATCACCACTGTCCCCAGGAACAGCGACTCCTTTACTGCCTTCCAATAGCCCTCCAGGCTGGGAAAGTGCCTGGCCCCTCCTGTCTCCCTCGTCCTCTGGGTTCGTCACCAGCCCTGGCATTTCTGCATGCCCCCCGGCACCGAGTTCCTACACGAGCTGTTTACCTCTTCCCTCACTGTCTGCGTTCATCTCCTTCCCCCTTTCCAAATCCGATTAGCTAAGGTAGCAAATCCCTTCAGAGGTTAAGCCTCCCGAATGTCATTCCTCTGGAACGTGTATGGGCGAAGCAGGACAGGACGTAATTGGGCAGTCTGTCACCTTGGTTAGGAGAGAGCTGTCTTTGTTGTTATTTTGTGCTACTGTGAATGAGCACAGGGACACTCCCCTCAGAGCAGCGCTCTTCGTAATTTCCAGGGTGCCAGCACCTGAACCCTCTCATTTGATCCTCTTAAGACCCTGTGGCATTTCAGGGCGTGCATCTTCACCTCGCTTTGTAGAGGCGCTGGCTGAGCATGACTAAGCTGCTACCTGGTACGTCAGCCTTCTGACCACTCCAGTCCCGCACACTTCATGTGGATGGCAGTGCGGGGTCCTGTGGGGGGCATGGAGTCCCCTGGGGGGCTCTAACAGACAGAGGAGCATGTGCTTCCAGGGCACAGAAGTTCGGCCTTGGAGGGGCAGGGGAGGGCTGACATCCCTGTTCTGGTCCTTCCAGCCTCTGGAGCCGGTTCCTGCCCTTCCACAGGGGACCGTGGTCCTCCGGCACTGGAAGTCCTCACTTGGCTTCTTCCAGAAAATAGAAGTGTGGAGTACTTAGGAACTCAGACTTCAGAATCAGGCAGACTTGGGTTCAGCCATCTGCATTCCCGCTGTGTGGCCTTGGGCAAGTCGCCTAACCTCTCTGAGTCTCCATTTCTGCGTCTGTAACCTGGGGCACTAACGGTTCTGTGGAGCCCGGCGCACAGTAAATGCCCCCGTGATCGGAGGCACTTAGTAGCATCGTGCAGTCCAGGCAAGAGCAGAGGTTTCGGGATTGAGTGAGCCCCGAGGGCAGCAGCCTCCAAGGGGCGGCTGAGGCCTCTGCCTCCAGGTAGCACAGGCCTTGCTGGTGAGCTGGAGGGGGTGGGGGTGGATCCTGGAAAACACAGGGCTCCACAGAGGCCTCCCTCCAAACAGCTCCATTTCTGAGAAGACGAGGGAGCTTGGAGGGACGTATCAACTTGGGATTCGGAGTCCGAGAGCATTCAGGGGGTGACTCGGGAATAATTGCCCGGCTCTCTCAGCTTCCTCATCTGTAGAATGAGGGCAGTAAGAGCTCCTCCCTCACGTACAATCAGAAAGTCAGTGCGTGGAAAGCAGGTCAGGAAGTGAGAGCCAGATGTCTGTCTCCCTCCCGCCACCCGCTTCTGTCTTCTCTCTCTCCTCCTCACCCTCCCTCCTTCTTTATCAACATCACATTAACGGTATTTTCTCGTTCTTTTCCAGCGAGCCCTTTGATCCTCATCGACCTGGATGGTGTGGACACCGGAGGGGGCGCCTTTCATTTTTTTCAGCTGCGGAAATGGATGTCTTCAGACCTGGTGAACGGTGGCCGTGGCGAAGGTTGCCTTGGGGATCGGTGGCAAATGCATGTGCTGCTTTATTTCACTAATCTGCATAATCACTGAAACCAACAGCTTGAAGTATAGACCCCCTCCCCCAGGGCCTTCCTGCCAGGTTGGAAGGGTGGGCAGAATGAGGATCTCCCGGGGCGGATGGAGCTGGGCCTCCAGAGCGTGGGACAGGCTGCCCGAGGACTTCGAGAAGTCCCGTGCAGCACAGTGAAGCATCACCTGGGGCCTGGGGGTGTTTGGTCACTTACTTTTCCCCCCTTTTCTTTTCTGCTCTAATAAACATCAGTGTTCAGCCTGCTTTCTGTGGTGTCTCCTTCCCTTTCTCTCTAAGAGGAGCAGAGAGACCCCTCCCATTGTTCATCTTTGTGAATCCAGAACCAGAGAGCCCCCTGTTCTCGGAATAAATGAATGGAGGAAAATACAGATGCCCAGCAGTTTTTCACGAGAGCCGTCTTTTCTTTGGTGGAGAGATTATGTGCCCCAGGCCCGCTCTGGACACAGCCACCACGCCATACCAGGTGCCCCTGGGTCTGCTAGCCGAGCAGACGTCTCCTGTGGAAAGTGGGTGGCAGCTTCTGTATCCCAGGGTCCTTCACCTTCCCACAACCCCGGAATCACAGATTGGACTGTCCAAGGCCAACCAAAGCAGTGATCGGGAGGGCAAGTGGGCTGCAGGGTCTTAGGGAGAATCTGTAGGAAGAGGTGCTCATACTCCCTGAGCTGCAGAGGAGGGCCTGTCTCAGGGAGCCCAGCGGGGCCTGTCCGGCAGGAAGCGATGGGGCGTCTCAACGAGGACGATACCAGAATGTACTGTATGTGCACTGTGAGCCCAGCCCTGCACCAGGGTGCCTGCATGCGGCAGATGTACGCACTGCACCCGCGCTGTGCGGTAGCTGTGCTCATGATTTCCACGTTAAGATAGGAAACCGAGGCTTACAGAATTGCGAGAGTGTATTAGTTTTCTATCTGGGCTATAACTAAAAACTTAACGGCTTAACGCAGCGGTTCTCAACCTGTAGGTTGCGACCCACAGATTGAGAACCGCTGCCCAAAGGGGTCTCGACACACAGGTAGAGAACCACTGCCCAAAGAGGTCATGACCACTGTTTGAGGAAACCTTGTGTAAGGAACCCTTGGCTGGCAGTTCAAACCCCAGCCTGCAAGGTGACCCTTGGGCCTAATGAGTCGCGACCTACAGGTTGAGAAGAGCTGGCTTAAAGCAACATGAATTTATTACCTTCCATTCTGGAGGTCATGTCCAACATGGGGTGCACTGGGCTAAAATCAGGCTGTTTGCAGGGCTGTGTCCCTCCCTGAAGGTACTAGGGGTGCATCTGTTTCCTTGCCTTTTCCAGCTTCTAGAGGCTTCCCCAGTTGTCAGCGCATGTTCCCTTCCTCCATCTTCAAAGCCAGCAATGACAGGTTGAGTCCTTTTCATGCCGTGTCTCCCACCTTTATAAACCTCTGATTACATTGGGCCCATTCCGATAACCCAGGACATTCTCCCTACCTTCAAGTCAGTTGATTAGCCACTTGTAATTCCACCTGCAACCTTACTTCCAACTGCCAGGTAAGATGACATATTCATAGGTTCCAGGGGCTAGTATGCGGGTATCTTTTGAGAGGGGGCATTATTCCATCTAGCACAGGCAGCTTGTCCAAGTTCACACAGCTGGTAGGTGGAGAAGCTGAGATTTGAACCTAGGGAGCTCCTCATGCTCTGGGCCTCCCAAGTGTTCGGCACCTGCGCCCTACCTGAAGTCCTTCTGCCTTAAATCGAATGGCTTGCTCCACTGAGTTCCTTCAGGGCTCCAATGTGCCTTTACTGACGCTGTTGTAGTCTCAGCTGGTGGGGGCATTAGTCGTGTGCCAGACCCTTCCCAATAAAAATGAATTAAATAAAAATCGACAACTCAATTTTTGTGTGGTGTAGTTTTCAGGCGGTTCAAATCTCTTTCTCTTTTAATTAAATACGTGCCCCGTCTTTCCTCCGCCCTGCTCGCGTCAAAATTCTTCTCCTCCGGTGGTTTAACAGATAATAGAGAGCAGTTACTCTCAGTGTGGCCCCTGGGGCCAGCAGGGAGCTTGTTGGACATGCACGTTCTCCGGCTCCTCGTAGATCTTTTGAACTAGAAACTCAGGAGCTGAGGCCCAGCGATCGGTGTTTTAGGGAGCCCTCCGGGCGATTCGGAGGCCCCGAGAGTTTGAGAACCACTGGACTACAGCTTCCTGGTGCATCCTGACGCTGTGGAAACAATTCGAGACTGAGTGAGAGCGGAGCGGCCCGAGTTCCGGTCCACTTCATCCATTTCTCCAACAAATATGTTCTTAGTGTCTCCTGGGTGCCTCAGGCTGTTCTAGGCCCTACGAACTCAGAGATGAACCAGACAGACAAGACTGATTTAAACAAAACTGTAAAATGTATATAACATATAATTAACCACTCTACATTTTAAAGTATAGAACTTGGTGGAATTTAATACAGTCAGGTGCTGCATATCAGTATTTCATAGTGGGCGCGTAAGATAATAACGAGCTGCAAAGTTCCTCTTGCCTGGTGACATCATGGCACCGTCGCTGGGTCACGGGGCAATGCCTTCCTCCCGTGTTGGTGGTGCTGCTGGTGTAAACAAACCCGCCGCACCGCCAGGCATGCACAAGGGTAGCACTTACAATCACAGTAGTCGGCTACACCGTCTGCGGTTTGTGAAGTACACTCTGGGATGTTCGCACAACGACGAAATGGGCTAATGGTGCGCTTCTCAGAATGTGGGTGCTGCGGTCAAGCAGTACCCGAATGCACATTCACACTGTGGTGCAATCATCACCGCTATCCGGTTCCAGAACATCACCCCCAAACGAGACTCCGTGCCCGTTAAGCGATCACTCCCCCTTTCTCCCTCCCTCTCGCCCCTGGCAACCACTACTCTGCTTTCCATCTCCGTGGGCTGGCCTATTGCAGACACTCATGTCAACGGAGTGACACACTATGTGCTCTTTTGTGTCCTGTTTCTTTCATTTAGCATTTCAAAAAATCCTCACCCAAGGATATGTTTATTGGTTTGAGAGAGAGAGAGAGAAAGAGAGAGAGAGAGAAAGGGAGAGAAACATCAATCTGTTGCCTCCCATAGATGCCCTGACTGGGGATAGAACCCACAACCCTTTGGTATACGAGATGACCCTCCAACCAACTGAGCCATCCGGCTGGGGCAGCATTTTTATTTTTGTTTATTTATTTTTTACTGTGAAAAGCTTTATTGTTTCTGTTTGAGCCAATACCTGGGAGAGGGCTCAAGGTGGTTAAAGGGTGCCTAGTGGTGTAGGGGAGGGGCTCAGACAGAAGCCAGACTCCGGCAGAAGCAGAGGAGCCCTGCAAAGGCCTCTGCGCTCCAAAGGCTCCTGGTCCTGATCGGGGGCGAGCCTTTCGAAGAGACACTCGCCCGGCCCAGCCTGGGGGCCGCCAGCCAGTGGAGGCGAGGCAGGTGGCACCTGTCTTCTTGATGAGTTTCACCTGCTCACCCAGGAAGTGGTTCTCCAGGAAGCCACAGGGCTGAGGGTCTGCGTGGGCAGAACCCAGGGCCTGCAGATCCAATAGGGCCCGGTTCAGGTTCCTCTCCAAGGCCATGGCGGCTTCCGTGGAGCCTGAGTTTTGCCCCACTCACCTTGGGAAGGCTCCAGCACGTCCTGGAAGAGAATGCGGCCACTGGTTTTGCATCTTTAAGAGACACTCTGCGCCCTCCAGCTTCTCCTCGGCCAACTCTCAGAAGAAGCGGCCCACGCCCTCCAGAGCCACGTGGTCGTGGAAAGCAAGCCCAGAGCGAGGTAGGTGCGGGCGGCTGTGCACACCGGTTGGCCAGGCAGCTGACGGCAGCTTCCACCTCGAGGGAATAACTCTGATGAATCTGGGAGCTCATGGTTGTTTGGCAATAAGGAGTGGTCAAAAAACTGTTGGCTGGTCTTGGAGGCTGAGGATGGCTGAGGTGGTTCTGAGAAAAGAGGTTGGAGGGTGATCAGAGGCTGAAAGAAGGGGCATTCCTGGGTCTGCTCCGTCCGAACACTATTGAAGCAGAAGACAGATCTGGGACCACTGAGGGCACTGCTAGCATGTGTCTTTAAGAGTCACCCATCTTGCCCTGGCCAGTTTTCCCAGTGGTTAGAGCGTCGGCCTGCGGTCCAGAGAGACCCGGGTTCGATTCCTGCTAAGGGCATGTACCTTGGTTGCAGTTTGTCCCTGACCCTGGTTGGGTTGTGTAGGTGGCAACCCCTCGATGTGTCTCTCTCACATTGATGTTTCTCTCTCTCTCTCTCTCTCCACTCTATCTGTACAAAAAATGGAAAAATGTCCTCAGGTGAGGATAAAAAAAAAGAGTCACCCATCTTGTATCATGTTTCAGTACTTCATTCCTTTTTATGCTTAATATTCCATTGTGTGGATACACCACATTTTGTTCACCCACTCATCAGTTGATGAACATTTGGGTTCTTTCCACCCATTGGCTATTGTGAGTAGTACTGCTATGAACATTTAGGTACACGTTTTTGGTTTTGTTTTTTTTAATCCTCACCCGAGGACATTTTTGCATTTATCTTCAGATAGAGTGGGAGGAAGAGAGAGAGAAACATCAATGTGAGAGAGACACATCAACTTATTGCCATCCACACGACCCCAACCAGGGCCGGGGACAAACTGCAACCGAGGTACATGCCCTTAGTGGGAACTGAACCTGGGACTCTCTGGTCTGCGAGCGAATGCTCTAACTGTTGAACCAAACCGGCCAGGGCCACGTTTTTGTTTTGAGTCTCTGTTTTCAGTTCCTTTCGATATATACCTAGAAGTAGAATTGCAGGGTCACATGGCAATTCTACGTTTAACTTTTTGAGAAACCACCAAACTGCTTACTACAGTGGTTGCAGCATTTACATTCCCACCGGCACTGTACGAGTGTTCCAAGTTCTCCGTCTTTGCTAACACACTTTTAAATTGTAGCCCTGGCCGGTTTTGCTCAGCGGTTAGAGCGTCCGCCTGCGGTCCGGAGAGACCCGGGTTCGGTTCCCGCTAAGGGCATGTGCCTCGGTTGCAGTTTATCCCCGCCCCTGGTTGGTCGTGCAGGTGGCAGCCACTCGATGTGTCCCTTTCACATCGATGTTTCCCTCTCTCTCTCTTCCTCTCTCTCCCTCCCACTCTGTCTGTACAAAAAATGGAAAAATGTCCTCGAATGAGGATTAAAAAACAAAAATTGTAGCCAACTCAGTGGGTGGGAAGGGGTATCTTATTGCGGTTTTGCTTG